TCCTGCCAGAATCATCCATCTAGAAAAATATTTGACCACTTGGCTCTTTGAGTTGTCCCTGTGACCTGAGTTCTCCCTGTGAGAGTAAGCTCCTCAGACTCTTTGGGAACTAGACCCTACCAGCATCTTGACATTCCCACCTTGATAACCCCCCACCCATTCTGTAAACAGATATCCATCAGCCTGGAAATACCCTCCCTCCCACTCCATCTGGGTGTTCCTGGACTTTACAACTCCGGCATCATAGACTCTAAACCAAATTACCTCTCCCCCATCCCCACCCCTTACCCTCAAATACGCTCCCACAGCTCCCTGAGCTGCCACCTCATACCACTTATCACTCCAGAAGATAATAACATAGTAGTTATTAATGCAGGCTCTTAAAGTTAGACTTCCTGGATTCTAATCCTTGCCATGCTGCTTACCAACTATATAAACTTGGGCAAGTTACTTAACTTCTCTGAGCTTCACTTTCCTCGCCTGTAAAACATAGATAATAATGCTGGTAGTGAGGATTAAATACAATAGTCCACATAATGTACTGAGGACAGCACCTGACACATAAGTGACCTCCTACTATCTAAATGGTAGCTATTATTATCATCTATTTTATAAGTTTTTTGTTTGGTTCTCCCATGAGACATATTGGCTGGATCACGATGGCCTTTCTCTTTCAATCTCTGGTAGTTGGCAGAGACAATCATATAATAGGTCCTTAAAAAGTTTTGGCTGTGATGGAAAGATGGATGAGTGGATGACAGATTGATTGTTGGATGAATGAGTAGATGAGCACATGGATGATTTGATGAGTGTGTGGGGTTATGGGCTAGACGGATAAGTAGATGTATAGATTGTTAAGCGGATGGAGGGATGGATGGATGGAAGAGTGCATGGGTGGGTTTATGAACTAGATGGACAGGGAGATGGTCAAATGGATGGTTAAATAGACAACTTAGTCTTGTTTAAGTAGTATGAAACAAAGGGAAGCTATACCTCAAGTCATTCTTGTCAGCCAGCTGAAAAGATTCCACAGTATGTGATTTATTAAGTTTGGGTTTTTCTCTTTTTTTTCCTAAGCACAGCTGTCTTCCTGCTCAGGATCTTTGGTCTCAGGCAATCTGTTACTTGCAATATCACTGTATCCTTGTAAATTTAGACCTTCAGTAAATCTTCAAGCCTGAGAGAAAGAACACATGTATACTCTGTTTTGATCACAGAGTAAAAAACTGCAATCCTTTCCCTGGAAGACTTTGCAGTTTAATTTGGAAAACATATTCAATTAATAGAAGTTTGTCAGGTGCCATCATTCTGGAGTTGCCTTGAAGCTGAGTCAGGGATAGCACTGGCTTTTGGTGACGTCCAGGATAACTCAGCTACTTGACAGAGGTGAGTTGAAGGTTAAGGAAGCATGTTGGAATGAGGAGGTGGCCCAGGCAGAGGTGAGTCCTGAAGATTGAGAGCAGAAAACCAGAGGGCCCAGAATGTCGAGACCCAAGAGTGTAGCCTGGGGCTGCTGACTGTGAGAAAATCCTGGCTCGCGATGGAGGCCTTGCAATTGGTCCCCAAATACACAAAGTATTAGGCCTAGTGAGGGGTGACCTCTTAGAGCCTCAGATTCCTCAACTAAAAATGAGAAGAGTAGTACCTGCTCCATAGGGCCAGGGGGAGGATTAAAAGAGATAAGGCTTGTGGCATCTCAGTGCCTGACCCGCTGTGTTGCCCAACATATATCTATATTCTTTCTTCCTCGAAGCCAGCACAGGCTAGTGGTCTAGCACATGAGCTTTAGAGGCATGTTGCTACCAAATCCAGTTACTAACTGTGTGATCTTAGGCAAGTTACTTAACTTTTTGCCTCAGTTTCCTCATCTGTGAAGTGGGGATGATAATAATACCTATCTCTCAGGATGGTTGTGAGGAATACACAAGTTAATGTATGGTAAGAGCCTACAGCAGTGTGTGGCACATAGTAAGTGCTACATAAGTATTTGTTCTTATTTTATTACTAATTTTTTAAAATTTTATTATTATTTTTAATATTCCTAAGTAGGTGAACACTTTGTTCCTGGTCACCAGAGTGAGAAGCAGCAAACCTTTTATTTGTGGGTAACGGGGGAACATAAACTCCCCTTTGTTGTTTTTGGTTTTGTTTTTTTGGTTTTTTTTGCGGTACGCGGGCCTCTCACTGTTGTGGCCTCTCCCGTTGCGGAGCACAGGCTCCGGACGCGCAGGCTCAGCGGCCATGGCTCACGGGCCCAGCCGCTCTGCGGCATGTGAGATCTTCCCAGACCGGGGCACGAACCCGTGTCCCCTGCATCGGCAGGCGGACTGTCAACCACTGCGCCACCAGGGAAGCCCGAACTCCCCTTTGTTGAAGCCTAGTATATTTCAGATGTTTAATATATTCTAATATTAAGTTAGATTAATGTATTTTACTTAAAATACTTTGTGTATTACATACCATATATAATTGGAAAGTAATTTAGACTAATATAATGTTAATGCCCACCATGACTCTTGGGAATAGATCATTATTGCCCCTAGCGTTGAGATGGAGAAACTGAGGCTCAGAGATACAGCGACTTGCTCGAGGCCATGCAGTCAGCAAGTGGTGGTTCTGGGATGCTGAGACTTACCATATTTCCACTCCTCAAAGCTGTTTAAGCTGGCAGTTATCCATGCCGTTCACCTCGGTACACGGATCAGGAAACAGAGATCCAGGCAGAGGCATTGACGTGCCCAAGGTGTCACAGAGAGCAAGTGAGAGAGCTGAGATCAGAACACTGGCCTCTGCATTCTCTGTCCAGTGTTCTTGACAATATGGAAAACAGAGATGTCTGTGAGTCTTCATCAAATGGATCCTGAGCTTTCTGCCCCTGAGGAATCACGCTCCCAGGCTCTGGACCACAGAGCCAGAAATGAAGAAGAGGAATGGTCACCTTACAGTGCCAGCCTGTTATGGTTGGTGGAGGGGCTTGGATGACTTATATGGGCTGTTCCAGATCCCACCCATCAGTTAGAAGTTCTCCACCCCTTTCATCATCTGGGGCCACTGTTCATTTGGCCAAAGATACTGCACAGTTTTATGAGTAACCAGATCTTGCTGCACTATGGTTCATTTTCCCCAGCTCAGCCTCCCAAGGAGGTACGGGGCTTCCCTTCTGCCATGGTGTCTTAGCTCTCAGATGTCACTTTCCTTCTGGATCTATGGAATTTGTCTCTCCTGATAATTGAAAGAAAGCCTAGAGATGGCCCTGCCTTGGGGACTTTGGCCAGTTCCTACTTAAGAGGGGGAAATTTGGAGCTCTGAGGACATGTTCCCACCCTGTGGATATAAAGACCGCATCTTCCTGTTGTAACCAAACTGGATAACAGTTGCAATTAACCAGATAACTCAAGAAGGAAGCAAATTATTCTTGCCTACTCAGTTGGATATTTGGGGACCTGAATTATTCAGCAATTTTTCTCAATCCACAAATGTATCAGTTATTGTCAGTGGAGCTAAGTCTGTAAAATAAAAATGTTCCTATTTATTTTTCTACAAAATACGAAAAGTTATAACAAAGGGAATATCACGGACTTATTTGTTTTTCTTTTTTTGTTCAGAAGCCAAGAGCTAGAAGAGACATATTGCAGGCAGTGATTTTTCAACCATTCTTCTGGAGAGTGGAATTCTTAGTCATGTGAAATCTCAAATGAAATGCCAATTTATGAAACAGATTAAAATGGAGAAGCTCCAAATGTGGTGGATGGCAGAGAAGCAGCAGCCCTACCTCAGTACCCCCCTCCCCATTACAATGATGCTGCTCTGCAGAATCCTGGGAACACGGTTTGAATATTAGTGATTTAGTTCAACTCACCTAAGGTTCATATAAGAAAATGCAGGCACAGAGAGTTTATTCAAGTTGTAGTCTGTTCAAACTGAAGTTTGGAATTCCTTTCTTTTAGTGCAGTGGTTTTTCATGATGAAGTTTGAATGTTGTTCTGGTTTTCTCCTGATAATGTAACAAACTACTTCCCAAAATTTAGTGACGTAAAAATAAGCCATGAAAGTTAGTGATTTGTTTTTCTCATGAATCCGTACTTTGGCCAGGGTTTGACGGGAATGACTTATTTCTGGTCTGTGATGTCAAGGGTCTCAGTTGGCGTAATCCAGTTGGCTGGGGCGGGAACAGCCCGAGGTTGGCTGGATGTCTCTTTCTGTTCATACAGGCTTAGGGCCTCTCTGTGTGGTTTCTTCACATGGTCCCTTAAAACCACAGCAAGCTCGGGATACTTAGACTTCTTACATGGAGGCTCAGGGTTCCAAGTGAGAGTTCCAAAGACCCAGAAGGAGCTGCAAGGCTTCTATCTGTCCTATCCTAGAAAGTCCCAGAATGTAACTCCACCCACATTCTGTTGGTCACCCAGGGCCAACCCTGATTCTGTGTGGGCAAGCACTAACATGGGCATGAGTGCTGGGAAGTATGGATCATTGGGTAGCCATCTTGGATGCTGGCTACACAATTTCCTTTCTTTTGGTGTGACGTTACCAAATAGATTCTGATGTGATTTGACCTAAAACAGAGAAGATAAAAGTCATCATGGTTTTCCTTAGATCTTAGGAGCACTGTCATGTGGAAGAGTGGTAAACTAGTTCTAGAATGCCACAGAAATCTGACCCAAGACCAAAAAGTTATAATTATAAGGAAGCTAGTTTTACCTAACCGTGAGAAAGAATTTTCAAACGACTAAAACAACCAAGTGCGATGTGGCTTCCTCTGCATGAGTAGTGAGTTTCTCCATCATAGGAGAGGTCTTTCTTCTACCGCTGAAAGTATCTGATTCTCGGGGACGATGACTAGTTGCGAAACTTGCATCTCCTTGAGCTTAGGGATGCTGAAATACTATGTGCATTTCTAAGAACCAAGATTTCCTATAAATCTAATTCTTGTTTGTTTGTCTTTTCTTTTCCCCCCTTTTTTGGACATTTCCATCATCTGACTGCCCATCAATATATAGAAGAAATGCTTATTCCTACTCCTATTACTTGTAAGTATCGATCCGGGGTGACGTTGCTTTGTGCCCTGTAAGGCAACCTGTAGCATGCATTTCCTGCACCAACCGTCTGTTGGTTTCTCATACTCACTTCTGTCTAAGCCATCTGTAGCCTCAAAGTTTTTATTTTGCCTAGATGTTTTCCATTTGAAAATGCACTGTCCATGTTGAAAATGTTCATGTCTGTTATGTTTCTGCCATCTTGGATCTTTTCCCCTGTTTTTGAAGATGTGAAGGGCTGTTTCTCCTTTGTCAGTGTAATTCTCTAGTTAGAAATCCTCAAATTCCAGCAAGAGGAAAACCTAATCCTCCTGCAGGATTTGCGCACATAAAACAAAATCACTGATCTCGGCAGCTTCAAAGCCCATTTGTACGTACTTGGGGAACGTGTAGCCCTAGGGGCTCAAAGATTAGAAGGAAATTCATTGGCTGTTTCCACTATTTCAGGAAGTCTACAGGGAATCGTGGCTTTATCTAGAATCAGCTTCACAGGTGACAGAAATATACACGGTCTTTGGGACTGGAATTATCTCAGTCTGATGTTTATCATTAGTTATGTCATTGCTATCAGTGCATTTTGTTGGTAGTTATAGATGGCTGATTGCCTAACAATTCTTTCTAAATAAAGATGATGATTTTTCTTATTACAAAACCAGACATTTTCACAACATGAGGGTAACGGAGAAAAACTCCATAAATAGATCCTTGGTAATGAAGAGTTAGAAAACCACTGAATTAGTTTCACATTTCTAATAGGCATTTTCCATATTTGAAAACTGAGGTCCAGAGAAGTGTGTGAAATCACGCTCCAGTTAGCAAAAGAGTGGGATTAAAACTCAGGATGCCTCACTCCTTGTAAAGTCCATTATCCATCATTCCACGTCTTCCTCCACCGCTGGCAAACCCAGCTTTGTGAGAGAGACCATATCTGTCAGTGATCATGTGCTGAAGCCTTCACAGATGAGGTTGGAGCCAGCAAAAGCCTCCCCATCCCTCTGCTCACTGTTTGGGTCCCTGGTCAATAGGTCCACGCAGTGAGCAGATGAGATTCTGGTATCACCACCCTCATGTTATATAGGAACCGATGAACGCCGGCCACCGACACTGAAAATGCCAGAAACCTTGCTTCGTTTGTTCATTCATTCATTTGACAAATAGGCATTGAACACGCACATTATGTTGCAGACACTGTGGACGGAGAGATGGCCAGGACTTTGAGCCTCACCCTCACAGTACACAAGCCTATCAGAGAGACTAGCCTAACATCAAGTATCGCTACTTGAAATCTCGGCGGAGATGTACCAACGTGTACCATGGAATAGGGGCACTTAGTCGGGTGACCGTTTTTTTAGTGGAACAGGGGACAGTTATCAGTGCTTCTAGAGATGGATTTATCCAGTACTGAGGAAGTAAGAATTCTGAGCAGGGAAAACAGCATATGCAAAAGGCAGAGAGGTGTGAGACAGTGCGGGCTGCTGTTGCCGTGGTGGAAAGAGTCATGCAGCTCTGGGTTCAAGTCACATCTCTGTCACTCACCAGTTACGTGGCCTTGAGCAAGATTTCTGGACTTTTTCAGCCTCATTCCTCTCAACCCTAAAATAGGAGTGAAAGTGCCTAACTCGTAGGGAATGAGGGATTTTGTGAGGTGCCTTGCAAAAAATTGGCACTCATGAAATGTTAGTTTCTGTCTTTCCCCTTTCAGAAACCATAAGGAGTCAGGGCAGTAATGGTGGCCCCTGGGGGCTCTTCTGGTCTTCTAGAGGTCCTCATGGCGTCAATGTTCCGCAGTAGGTGTGGGCATGCAATGCCTTCTGGGCAACTCACCCCCCCAGTCTGTTAGCCAGTGTACATAGCACTGTCTGGATGCCCACTTTGTACCATTCTCTGTGCTGGACCCTGTGGTGAAATCAAAGATGAACGATGTGGAGATATAGATATGCAAGTCCTTATAGTTCAAGTTGCAGTGATAAACAAGGGTCTTCCAATGGGTGCAGACTTGGAGTTCTAAGTGACAGATCCTAGATTGTGACACTCAGGCCAGCTCAGGAGCTGGCCATGGTTAAAAGTTCAGAGGGGGAGAAGAACTGGCGAAGCAGACAGCAAGGTAGGAGGAGCACCATTAAAACCAGGCGATGCCCGTTGCAGAAGGAGGACTTGACAGTAGCAGGTGCTGCAGAGAGAAGGAAGTGGAGGGCTTGGGCGCGGCCCTTGACCATCAGAAGTCACTGGTGCAGGTCATGGGGTAGCCTTGAGGGAGGAAGCCAGCCTGCCTAGGACCCATGAGGTAGATAACTTCTTCTTAACCACTAGGCCCTAAAACAGAGGAGAATGTGAGACTGGCCACTTGAAGGGCCAGAAAGTCCTGGGCACGTGTATACGTAGAGGAGCCTGTGCAGAAGGGAGAGCTGCATATGCTGGAGGTGGGGTGTCTCGAGAAGGGAAGGTCTGGAGGCAGAGTGTTTGGGGACAGGGAGCTGAGGAGGGGATGGGTGACAGGTCTTGTGAAACCATAGGAGGGAGCGATGCATGTAGATAGAGAAGGGGGAACAGAAAGGAAATGAGGACCCCCACGGTCTGCAGATTCAAAACTCCACTCCGCCACATCTTAGGTAGAGACCCTGAGTGGGTGCTTTAAACCCTTTCTACTCAAAAGTGTGGTCCATAGACCAGCACTGGCATCACACAGGAGCTTGTAGAACTGCAGCACCTGGTGGCCCAGCTCAGGCCTCCTGAACCTGCATTGTAACAAGATTCCCAATTCCTTCATGGGCACATTAAAGCCTGAGAAGCACAGACTTACCCAATCTCAGTTGTTTCATCTGTAAAATAGGAAACACAATACCATCCTCGCAGGGGTTAAGGCGTCACCTCGTCCCTCTAAAAGCTTCAAAATCTTCCATGAAAGAGAAAGCCTCCAACACACTTGGGCTGAACAGTCTTTTCCATGAAATCCATATTTATTCAACAAGTATTTGTGGGGTTCCCACTTATGTGCCAGACACTGGTCAAGGCTCTGGGCTATAAGAGTTAGCTCAACAAACAAAAATCCCTGCCCACATGAAGATGCTTAGTGGGGGAGATAGAAAATAAACGACATACGTAAGAAAAGTAGTATAGGTATTATGTAATGGCCAAGAGAGATAAGAAGAAAAATTAGATAAACCAGGGAAAGAAGATGTAAAATGTAGGTGGGGGAGAAACAGAGGAATTTTTTTTCAAAGCCAAGAGGCCCTCAGTGGCTCTCCCCCATTGAAAGGTCCCATACACGAGACCAAGGGTCCACAAACATTTTCTGTAAGGAGCCAGTAGTACATATTTTTGGCTTTATGGGTTCTCTGTTGCATCTGCTCAACTCTGATGTTGTAACATGAAAATAGCCATAGACAATATGTAAACGTTTGAGCATGGGTGCGTTCCAATGAAACTTTATTTAAAACAATGAGACAGTGGGCCAGATTTGTCCTGAGGTCCATAGTCTTCCTATCCCTGCTCTAGACTTTTGAGATAGGGAGAGGATGGGGTTCAAGATTCATCCTGCTTTATGAGCTCCTACAATGTGCTGCACCGTGCGTTAGCCACTGCAGACACAAAGGTGAATGCAGGGCAGCTGAACCAGCCTAGAAGGAGGCAGAAGTTGAAAACAATTACTAGCTGGTAGCTATGATGTACAGGGTTTATCTAATGCTCACAGCAAGCCCTGCGAGATACATGCTATCGTGTTGAGTCTATTTAGACGTTGAGACTGAGATTTGAGGACTTGTGTACATCCCACAGCCAGGAGGTGGCAGGGCTAGGGTTTGAATCCAGGACCACATACCCTCAAGCCCCGCCCATCCTTCTCACTAGACCTTCAGGGCTCCTGCCTGGACCATGTGCTTGGGGAGCCCTTAGCCAGGCTGTGGGAGAGCCAGGATTTGAGTGCAGGTGTGTCTGCCTCTACAGCCTCAGTTCTGTGCAGGGACATCTGTGCCTTGCTTGGGACAAGAAGTGGTAGCTATTCCTGGCTGGCAAGGAGGCCCTTGAGGTAATCCTGTCTTTGCTGTCCTGGGGACTTGCCATGTGGTCAGAGCTGAGAGCACAGGGCAGCCAGATCGGTGGTAGCCGAGGGAATAGAGTAAGGGGTGACCAAAAGAATGCTAATGACATGGATAAGTAGAGCTATAGGTAGAAGGCACTTTGGGACCCAGGGACAGAGGAGTCTAGAATGGGGTCCTTCACGGTCCAGTACACATTTTAAAAATTAAAATAATGTGGGTTTTGGTGTCAGACTTAGATCACAATTCTAGGTCTGCCTCTTCTTCCAGACTGTTCAGACCTTGAGCAATCGTGGAACCACTCTGAGCCTCAGTTTCTTCATCTGCAAATGGTGACAACAGCTGTAACTTCCCAGCATTTTCATGAGGGGTAATGAGCGAGTGTATATGTAGAGTGGCTGACACAAAGTAGGTATTTTATAAATAGCAGCTATTATTCCTCACCTCCTGAGCTGACAAAAATGCTTCTCTAGAATTCCTTTTTACCTTTCTGTAGTAAAGCAGCACCCAACAACTTCAGTGTCTGCTTTTTGAAAGGATATTAAGAGTTGGTGTATGTTCATAGGTTAATTTACCTCAAGGCAGGTGATGGGCACAGTAATTGTTTTGAACAGAGACATTTTAGTGTAGTAGTTCTTGAAAAGGCACTAAGATGTTTACCAACCATTCTGGCAGAGAGAGAGTACTTAACTTTTTCACTTCACCTGTGTGAGTGTCACAGAGGCGGGTTCCTCCTGGGCTGGTCCCTGTGTGCAAACACTCCAGAACACTTGGGCTTTTCACGTCCATCCTATTTCTCTCCATTCCAGCATATTTAAATCCTACACCTCTTCTTCAAGGTCCGTGTCAAACATTAGCTCCCACTGAAAGACTTCTCTGATTCTTTCCACCTGCAGGAATGTCCCTTTCTCCAATTCTCATCGCAGTCACGTTGTTATCATGGGCAGGAGCAAATGTGTC